CGGGCCCCGGCTCCCGTTGCGACCCCGGTCGCAGGCGCGGCCGTGCGGGCCCGGCGGCGCCGCAGCCCATGGAGCTCGAGAACATCGTGGCGAACACGGTGCTGCTCAAGGCCCGGGAAGGTGAGCCAACGGGCGATCGGACGGGCCCGGGTTCCTGGAGCTTGAGGCTCGGCCTCCCAGCCCAGCCGGGCGCCCAACCAAATGGGCCCCGAGGGCGGCAGGTTCCATGCCCCATACCCCGCGCGGACGCAAGCCCTTCCGGGCCGTACTTCTCCTCCTCCGCACCTGCCCCGGGGTGCCGGGGCCCAGGAAGGGGCGGGGGTCAGGCCACCGCCCTCTCGGCGTGGGGCGCAGGAAGGAAGTGGGGAGGGTGGGACCTGAACCAAGCCCTGGGAGAGCCTCTCGGAGCCCTCCCCCAGGTTAGAGGGGATCGCGACGATGGCCGAGGGAGGGGAGCCCACCCCACGTGCTCAGCCTAGCCCTGGCTCCCAGCCTAGATGGCCCAAAGTTGGTTCTGGGTAAAAGTTTGGAGAATGAATGACCACCGGGGGAACCCCGGGTCACACATGCTGCCGTCACGCCCTCACTTTGCTGGGTGCCTGTGGACTGCGTTGGGACAGAGATGGGTGGGCCGAGTAGGACGGGAATCAGGAGCTGGGCTTGAAAGCAGAGAACGATCTCAGGGCACTCTGGACCTGCTGGTGAGCCCAGTGTGTGTACTGAGCCCCTCTACCTCCCCACCCTGTGTGAGGCGCCTGGGGGATATGGACCCACAGACCTGGTCTTCACTGTTTTGTGGCCAGCTTGCCCCTTCCCTGCGGCAGTCCACCTCAGCAGTACAATCACTGAGCACCCACTCCGAACTCCACCCTGTCCAGGGTACTGAGGGCCCAGCAGCGGATAAGACCCCATCATTGTGGAACCCCGGCCGTGACAGCTTGTCCACACTTTGCTGGGCTTTCAGATTTCAAGAGTCATCTATCTGCCCCACCTTCCTGACCCATTCTGCAGTGGCAGCAGACTAGCCTCGTGTTACCTAGTGGTTGACCCAGCATGCCCCCAACCCAGAGAGATACCCATCTGGGGGACAGCCTCTGGTTTCCCTGTCTACCCACCCATGCTTGTTGACCTTTGGGGTGTCTGCCACCGGAGGCTGGGTCCTCAGTGCCCAGAGCCTCCCTTATCTCCTGTCCCTTATCGAGCCTTGGGGCTAGGCCTTCCTCCCAGCCTCTGGGGGCATCTGCCCATTCTGTTTCTGTTCTGCCTCGTCATCCAGCCTGCCGGGGAAGGGGGGTGGGGAGAGCCAGGCCAGGCCTCTCTAGGGCTCTAGCCATTCCAGCCTCAGGCCTGGTGAGGGCACTGCCTTGCCTGGCCAGAGTGTGGGCATCCTTGGGCAGGCTTCATCAGGCCACGGGCAAGGCACAGGGAGCAGGGCCTCACAATGGACTGGTACCTCCTTGGAGAGAACCCTTAGCCCAACCTGGTGCTGCCTCTTCCCAACTACGTGGTTTTAAACCAGTCCTTCCTCCCAGAACTTGGGCATCTCCTTGTGGAATGGTTGGGGATGGGACACAGAGATTAAAAGGAAATCCTAACTGTCGCCTAGTGTTGAAACTCACTGCCACCAAAGAAATAAAACATGTCGCGAGCCAGAGCTGGCCAGGGCCACCATTGTGAGAGGCTGGCTGTGTCCACCATCCATGAGCTGGCGAATCGTTTGGGGCCAGGGCTTTTCCCAACGACCCTGAGACCCCACAGTGGTTTGGGACTCCTTGGTGTCTGTACACTACACGTGGTCCCTGTGATAGTTGCTCAGCATGTTTGCAGAGTGGAGGCAGGGGGAGGAGTTTGGGTGTTGGCCCCATGGGGAGCTATGGTCCCATCCTGTCTCTGTCACCTCCGCCGTGTGATCTCAAGCTGAGAGTCCTCATTTCAGGGCCCCCTTTTCTCATGAACTTGAGCCCAGTCAGGCCGAGTTGCTGAAGAGGGGCAGCTCCACCCTCCTTTGCCCTGGTGTCCAGCCATGCAGGGAGAGGGCTGGGTAGGGCTGAGAAACCCCTCTGACTTGGTGGCAGCTCCAGGACAGGGTATTTGCATGTGACTCTTGGCTGCTGCTTTAATGTGGACAGGAGGAGGAAGTACTGGGGTGGGGGGCAGGGGGGTGAGGACAACAGATGCTGGGTTGGGCTGGTGGAGGGTTGGGTGAGAGACCTGTGGGGGTGGGGAGGAGTTCCCCTTCTGGGGAGGCCTTGCCTGGGGTCCGGGGTGCGGGGTCTGTTGCTCACTCACAGTGAAGCAATGACTTCAAGGCATGTGGGGTGTGGGCTGCAGGAGAGCCTCGCACTGCAGGTTTCCTAACTTCTCAAGTTCATGAGAACAGGGTGCCCTGCAACACTTCCTTCTCCAGGGAGCCCATCAGGGAGCCCGGCCCCTCCCCTACGCCACCTTCCTGTACCCAAGCCCTCCAGAACCCGGCTGGGAAGAACAGTGGAAAAACTTAGGCCTCAGAAACAGAATGGGCAGATGTCCCCAGAGGCTGGGAGGAAGGCCTAGCCCCAGGGCTGGAAAAGGGACAGGAGCTAAGGGAGGCTCTGGGCACTGAGGACCCAACCTCCATGATGGTAGAGCTGAGTCAACCTCTTGCCTTGGGCCTACTGACAGCTGCACACGGCTCTCAAATCCCCTCACACCAGCTCCAGGGGCAGATGGAGGAATGGAGGTTCACGGAGGGCAAGGGGTGCGTCCAAGAGTGAACTGGAGACTCATACCCAGGTTTGAGACACCGGACTCAGGCAGGTCCTTCTACCATCTCAGCTTGGTGGGCCCCTGCCAGATCTGCCTGTCTCACCTGTTTATTAGCTTAGAGGGGGCGTGTGTGTGTGTGTGTGTGTGTGTGTGTGTGTGTGTGTGTGTGTGGTGTTTTTGTAAATAAAATTAGCATCCGTATTTCATTTAACTACCTGAGTTTTCCACTGCCTTTGAAATATCAGAGGATCTGGCCCTTCGGAGCCAGCATTCCTGCCTGGCAACAGTGAGCCCATCGGTCAGCTGGAGTTGTGTTCCAACTGCCCTGTTAGAAGGGGCATACTGCTCCAGTGTGCTGCACTCCCCATCACTCCTTGGTGTCCCACACCTGGCCCGAATTTGCCGTGCCTACTTGCTATGGTGGTTTCAGCAGCACCAGGTGGGAAGTTGGATGTGTGGTCAGGCCAGTAGGCAGGCCCAGGAAGCCCTTGCGTGCAGGTCCCTGTGCTATGCTGCCCCTCCAGCCTTCTCGGTGTCCCATGCTGCCGCCACCCCTGGGATTTCTGAGGCTGGCTCCAAATGCCCTAGAAGCTTGCCTCTGGGCCCTGACGGACACCCCTTTCCACATTTGTTCATCTGGGAAGCTCCCACCTGGGTAGAAACAGCCCCTACAGCAGCTTTCGGAGTCCCCCAAAGGCCTCCCTGCCCTTCAGCTCACCCAGCCAGCCGGCCCCTGGCAGCAGGGTGTGTGTGGACCCTGGTCCCCAGCAAGGGCAAGGGTAAGGTGACCAGATTTTAACATTGGTAAAGCGGGACAAAAGCGGGACACCATTGATGAAACTCAGATCCTGGTGAAATAGCCACATGGCAACTGAAAACCGTATACCCTAGCTTGTCGTGCATTCTTTCCCAAAATCGGGACTTTTAAAAAATGCCGCGGGACACGGGAAAAATTGTTAAAAATCGGGACTGTCCTGCCAAAAGCGGGACGTCTGGTCACCTTAGGCAAGGGTGAGGCATATGACGATGGCAAGGAGGCGAGAGGCGTGTTTCAGCGAGGGCTGGGCCTAGCCGGGCCCCTTGGGCCCTGGGCTCTGAGCATCAGGGGAGGCTGGGTGGTGGCAGGGCTGGGGACAGCAGCGCCTATTTGCTCCCACAGGTGGTGGCGGGAATCGCAAAGGCAAGAGCAAGAAATGGCGGCAGATGCTGCAGTTCCCTCACATCAGCCAGTGTGAGGAGCTGCGGCGCAGCCTCGGTGAGGCTGGGTGGGGAGGCTGAGATGGGGTCGTGAGTGGGGACCCAGTGGGCAGGAAGACTGAGGTTGCGCCACCCCACCCCCCGGCTTTGGGATAAGTGGAGGGCAGAGACCAGGCCTGTGTCGGAACCCTTTGGGTGAAGCAGCTGGGGGTTAGGGTGAGCAGAGCCCTGGAACTGACCGTGCTGGAAGCCCCAGACCTATCTTCAGTGCAGTGAAGTCCTGCCCCAAAGCCCATGCCCCCTGCCCCCACCTGGGCAGTGCGATCGGCCAGGGCAGCCAGAGTATGGCTAGACTTCAGCCCCAGGTCTGAGCAGCATTCAAGGCTACCCAGGCACCCTTGTGATGGCCTGCAGGTGGGTGAGGGGTGGGCCACAAGCTTGCCGGAAGCCACCGCTTCCTCCTGCACTTTCGCCAGGCAAGCAGCAGGGGTGGGCCAGGCCTGGGCAGGGTGCACCCAGGCCCTGGCCCCGTAACGTGTGCAGTTGTGCAAACCCAGGGTACAGCAGGGGCAGGTGGAATCCAGGGCTTTGGAGCCAGATGTCTTGCTGTGTGACCCCAGGCTAGTCGCTTAACCTCTCTGGTGCTCAGATCCTCAGGCCCTACTGGGCCCAACAGTCGTGCCCACCTCCGGCTTGTGGGGGGGGGGGTGTTCCAAGGCATCACAGACACTGCTGTGGGGGCGGGGCAGGTGGTGGGGAGGGGAGGACTGCCTGGCGGGCAAGCTCCCTGTAGACCCAGCAGCTCCCTCGCCTGCCCTCAGACCGGGACTACCACAGCCTGTGTGAGCGGCAGCCCATCGGGCGCCTGCTGTTCCGAGAGTTCTGTGAGACCCGCCCGGAGCTGACCCGCTGCATCGCCTTCCTGGACGGGGTGGTGAGTGGGCCGGGCTGGGGGTGGTGCGCTGCTCAAGGTCCCAGGCCTGTACCCCAGCCCCCATACACACCTGTCACTCCAGCTGAATCCAAAGCTTCTCCCCCTCCCACTGTCTGCAGGCTGAGTATGAAGTGACCCCTGATGAGAAGCGGAAGGCGTGTGGGCTGCGGCTAATGCAGAATTTCCTGAGCCACACGGTGAGTGAGAGAGTGAGTGAGTGAGAGAGTGAGTGAGAGAGTGAGTGAGAG